CCACTTTAAGTAAAAATCGAGTATTATTAAGTTTTAAACATATGTACAAGTCTACGAAACTAATAAATCATAAAATTAGCATTACTTTCTACTCTTAGGTTGTTCCACCTTTTAAATAAAGGTAAATTTTACCTGTGAGGTAAATCTGGTAATCTGCATATGTGATTGGGTAATCTTGCTACTTATCCAATAGGTAAAATTTATTAAAAGGTGAAACAACCTTAATTACTTAAATTTTAACAGGCGAATTTCCATAAGCGCTGATCGTTAATAGTATCTCGTGCCTGAGGTTAACATTTGCTTGATATAAAAGTTTTACAGCTTGTAAATTGAAAATGAATGTGAGGGATTTAGATTACTTGAACGAACAATACTAAGTTTGTAGAATTAAGATTCAAAGCATAGAAAAAAATATTTCTAAAATAAAATTACGTATTTTGCAAGGACTTCATACATTTTAAAAAAAATTCTCTTTTACAAATTCGAAAATCTTTTTCCAAGATTAAAGTACATCACATTAATACGTGAGGTGAAATTTATTCTGAGAATGACAAAAATTTTGAAATTGAAAAATTTTAAGAAAAATTTTTTGTCGTTCTCAGCATAAACTCCACCTGACAGACACGCATTAATGCGTGTATATTTGATGCTAGAAAAAAATTTTCGAATCTAAAAGAGGAAGAAAATAATTGTTATACAAAAATTATGATTTAGTCGGTAATATAAACGTTTTTAGGATCCCCGTAAGATTTTCTAAAGTTGGAATATAATTGTAATAGGACTCGACCTGTGACTTTATCGGCTGCTTGGGCCCATGCTATGAATGAATCCACGTGATAATTCGCATTCAAGCTTGCCTCGCAATCATTCAATTGTACGTTCACGTTTACTCCAACAACTTCGTAATTTGTCTTGACTCCTCCGAAAAGAGCTGTAGCTGATGAAGCTGAATCGGGGACTTGCTGATTTGTGGTATAAGTCTACATTATCAACAAAAGATACATTCGAACACGCGAAGATCTTATATAAAATATATTAATTACAATACATGTCACGTCTAATAAAAATCCCAAGACCTTCAGTATTCCAATATGGGGAAAATGCTCCCAGGCGAGTCGACTGGTCTCACCACCACGATAAATTCTGCTAGCCGTGATAGTGTCGGGACTCATTCCATCGCCCACAAAAAGAATCACGTTTTTCGCCTTTTTTAGATTCCAATGATACGAAAGAGATTCTTTCAGTTCTTTGTTCGCTAACTCATGCCAGTGTCGGCTGTCTACGTCAAAAATGATGATATACTCAATCTTCGTTATTTCAGATATATTTGTTCAAACAGATGTGATAACATGTTAAAAATAAACATTAATCTGCTGAAAAACTAATTTCGCATTTTTACAAATAGAAAAATTGACTATATAAAATGTTTATCCTCCGTAAAAAATGTGCAGGGAAAATTTATTATTAAACTTTGTAATATCATTTTAAACTACAGCATTTAAAATTATTATATGCGGTTTGAGTGTGATCGGTATGATTAATTCTATGTCCTTGAACATGTACTATAAGAGAATGGATTATATAATTTCATGGACTATTTTTTAAGATTTTGTAATCTCCTCAGTCATAACTGTGATGACACTTGTCAGAGAAGCATAATGATTAATTTATATTTAAATACCTTCGATTGCAAACACATTTGTAATCTTGACAAAGCATGCGAAAAGGTAAATGGCGACATATTTCATTTTTTTTCACTAATGCTAAACTTTAATTAAAACTAACGAAAGCACTGTACACTGCACACTAAATGATCTACAAATATGCCCTCTGCTGAAATATAGTAGGAAGCATGAATACAGAAGCTAATGGTAACGATAGATCTTGAACAGTGTATGATAACTCGTGATAACGAATAATGTAGTTAGACGTTATATTAAAGTTATGTTGTTAAGTGGGAAATTACAATTAACATGTACGTTACATGTAACTTAATGTTTGCTGGGTATTTTATAATTCGAAATATTTGCATTTCATTTTTACGTCCTCTGAATATCCTAAAGACATTTACAATATCTCTTGGATAAAAACTGTATGGAAAATTGCAAGTTTTCAATACTCATATTAAAAAAAATTTACTAAATATGGGGCGTTCACTATCAAATCGGCCATCCCATCTGTTCAAAATTCAGTTTAACCAAAAATTTCTTTTTGAGCTCAAATTATAGGTACACATGTTTACTTTCTTTAGCACTCTGGCCGTTTTGAAAATTCAATATGACGAACCTTAACATGACAGCTATTGTTCATGAAGTACTAATTGAGAACGCTCAAGTCATCCAAATCATTCAAATGGATCAAGATTCGTTCGATTTTCATGAACATGCCATTCAACCAAGAGAGGAAAGTGTTCAAAGATGTCAAAGGGTTTGCGGGTTATCGCCGTATCGTGATCTAGAACATACATATTGCTAATGCCAACGCTTAGAACATACATATTGCTAATGCCAACGTTTCGTGAACTTAGTCGTTTTTCATCAGGCGAGGAGCGCACTGATACCGTCAGGAATGATACTTTCTTGAAAGATTGCAATCTTTCTAAGGCTTTATAATAAATATTTGCTCGGTTACCTCTCATTTTCTTTGATTTCAGTGTGATTCATATTATATTTATTTATAATTTCTTAGTTTTTGAACAAATTTTTAAATACTGTTTTTGCGTTATAAA